AAAAAATAATCATTCTCCTTTATGTAAACTTCCTGTGTTTCAAATAAAGAACAAAACCAGGACTTTCTAAGATACTGAAATAATAAATATGAAGATCTGATCTCCTGAAGTAGACAAGTAGTTTAATGCAATTTAGCATCTGGCACAGTTTATACAGCACAGTTTCAAGCAGCATTCTCCTGTGCCAGGGCATGTTCCACACGTGGAGAAGCAGAAAGCTAGTGTGTGGGGCCAACGTTGAGAACTTAAACTGAAAAAACAAAGGGATGTGTCTTGAATTTTCATGTAATATTGACGAAGACAAAATCTTCAGCTCATTTTAAATTGGTCTACACCAATGCAGAAACACCAGTCAGCACGGCTATGAGGGCAGAACCTAGCCCATAGAAGAGGACGACCCTCAGACCCTGCAGGAAGAGCCAAAGGCTGGCTCGAGGGCAGGCCTGGGGCATGGGACTCCAAAGGCAGTGCAGGTTTCTGAGGAAGCTTGATGCAACTTGCCATACAAGTAAAGGAACAGAGCCTTATTCCCCTTTCGAATGCTGCTACTAGATTATGAGGTAGTGCAACAGACATGCAAATACAGCATGTTAATTTTAGCAAGATGCTAAAGTACACCTAGGGAAGAATTCAGTTTTCCTGTAGATCCTGGCCTCTACCCCACTCATGCAGGGGTTCGTTCAGAGCAACCCGATGGCAGGGAGACGTCCTGAATGTCTCTCTATCTGACAATGCCAGGTATGGATTTCTGAAGTACTCCCTCCCTTCTAAAATGAATTCCTCTAGGCCAATAGATTTATAAAGCAATAATGCACAGGACTGATGCTCACAAATCAGCATCCGGTGTCCTTATTTCACAGCTCTGTCCACTTCTCATCCTTTAGGACTGTGTTGTGTTCCCCAGTCTGCCTGAAGCTCTTTTCCTTTCTAGCACCATGAGTTGTAAGCTCTGCAGGGCAGAAATTCATGTGTTTATAAAGTCCCAAATCACTCCTATGATGTAAATAATGAATGTACACTTCCACCTGGGACAGCAAAGTAAATCTGTTTCTTGGGGGCAATTGCATCCCAGGAATATGTTTGTTCTATATATGAAAAACTCTAAGCCAGCAAATGGTTCAGGGTCCCTGATCAGTGCTTCCACAACATGCTTGCTCAAGTCTTCTGAAGTGAGAGAGCATTGCTCAGCCAATAACCACAGAAAATCCAGGAAAATTCCAGCAAAAGCTATTCT